AGTTAAAGTCAGTAGATATCCCCTTTGTGGGTTCTGATAGTGGAGCCCCTACTGAAAAAGACACCACTTCAGAAAAGACCTGAATGAACAGATTCAGTCCGGAATCTAGGCAGCTTTTGGATCCATGATCGATATAATGAGTTCTGTTTGGAGGTCTAGTCGGGAGGGTCAGCTCTGGGGGATGTATGAAGCCCCTGGACGATGTCCGCGTACACCGTTGCCTTTCTTCTTGTGTGGCTCCTGGGGGCCCAGACGCCCTCAAAAATGCTGCTGAGAAAGGCGTGTTTTTGGGGAAATGTCTTTGGGTCTCTTTATGGGCAGACAGTTTCTCAGAGCAGCAGTCATTTTTGGAGGGCCAACCCCAGTTGAGCAGTACATAGTATTTTTAATTCCTCATTCTGCTATCCTCTGCTTTGTGGGCTGTTTGTGGATGTGCCTTCGGAATGGGAATCTTTCGGCGCTTTGGAATTCTTGAAGCCAAAATTAACAGATGAAGCTTAGACTTACAAATCACCCATGTTGATTCCAGAAAGCACGTGTTCCCTCACTATTTTGACTGAACCTTGTGGAGAGTCACTGATAAAGTTTAATGCAGGTGCTTTCACCACGAGAATTCTAAGGTGTACTAAACGAAATGTTGTCTAATTGAGATTGGACTTGTCTGTCTTTACTCACTGATCGATAGGTTGAGTATTGTCAAGTCAAGTCAAGCTTGAGCAAGATGGTGTCCCACAGATGTGTTGCAGAATTCGAGGCAACAAAATGGCAGTTGTTAGTGAACACTGTTCAGCCAATCTTCTGGCAACTCGAAGTAGATTGTTGATTAGCGAGCGGAGCGCTTCTGAACACTCCATGCCATGCAAGGCATGGATGCTTTCTAGTGTGCTTCAAGGGATTGGCAAAACATCGAAGGACTGATGTATTTAAATCGAGTACTAACCAGTTGATTCTAAGCTACTAATAGCTTCTTCTTACTACTAGTAAGGCACTTGTTACTAGAAGCGATGCACTTGTTCCTAGTAGCGAACATTGTTACTACTCAGGGGTATTGGCGGGGTTATGCGTTCTTGAACAATCTGTGCAAGCCTTTAGCTCATTACTCCAAGCTCGGCACTCCGCAAAAGGCCTCGGCTGTCAGAGAATTGTCTCCTTGTCAAGTCGGGATTTGGTGTGCCGTGTGTTCAAGCTTAAACAGTGTGCTGATATGTGCTGATCATAGTATGTCGACAGAAACCATGTGAACTTGAGGATAGTTACATAAGGTGAAGACTGGCCGATCTTGGGAGTTGGAGAACAAACCTGGCTCAGTCAATGCTCAAGCACGAGGTTGGTGCAGTTGAGACGGGCACACGTGCTCGACTTCTTTGGATCCTGTCCCCTTTGTGGCCCTGGAGTCCGTCCCAAGCACCAAAAAGGGAGCAGAATCCACTCGGGCCCACAGTGTCCCCATTCTTTGGCATTAGTCAACTGATTTTTTGGGGTCCTTCCAAAGAGCGTGATCACGTTTGCATAGATAAGTGTTCAAAAATATGGTTCATTGGGTGTTCTGCTTTGGTGATTTGTTCGGCAGACAATCCTCCTATCCTGGGGTTCATTGTGAAACGCTAGGTTTGTCCATGGATTGGTTCCAGGGCCAGAAGGGATGAGTGCAGAGGCTGGCGGAGCCTCTGGCGGAGCCTTCGCCATCATTCGCCAGCACATGACTTTACATCGCTGCGTGAGGATTTGATGGTCGGTGGTTTTAGCTAAAATGAATCAAAACTGCACATCAAAGGTATGCTATGTGATGTACCAAACTCTTGCTACTTGTGATTCCGCAAAAGACCTCATTCTTTCGCCAGAAGGCTATGAAAGTGCCAGGTCTGAATTACCTGTGGTTTTCCGGCCAGTTTCGTGGATGCTTTGTGGCCCTTTTGCTATCACATCTAAAGCCCCATCCACATCAACCATCCAAACGATCGAGGATAAGAGAAAGGCCATGCATTTCCTCTCGCGACCACTTGGAATGCCAACTTTTGGGACTTCGCCAGACCGCGCGACATGCGCCATTGGCGGACAGAAGGGGTTGGCCAGGTGTGATTTCTTCGAACGTTTTGATTTTGACACGTCTTCATGGATCGTGAGGGGTTTTCATGTTTGTGTTTCGGTCGCTTGGTCGGTCGGTCGGTTTCATGTATTGGGTGATCGATGCGAGGATGAAGTCGAAGCCTTCTGAGGGTCCAACATTGAAATGTTTTGGTCGGAAGATGTCGGAAGCAAGGATTCTTCATGTATAGGTGATTTGAATGATCTACATAGATGGTGACACACTTTCCTCCCTACTTATGGGCCGAGCAGAAGTAGAAGTCGAAAGTCTCTCGACATACTTCTGCATACCGAATACACCTCTTATCGTGTCGAAAGATCACTACAGGTTCCAATGCTGAACGTATTGCATGGTCAATATTACTAGTAACAAGAAGCTAGTAGAAACAAGTGCATGCTTCTCTCAGTTTAGGCAGGGCTCCCATGGTTGGGGAAGGCCCGTGCTCTCATCAGCGCGAGGGCTTGGTTTCTGCTCAGACATGCCATACCCTCGGGTTCCAGGGTCCGAGGCCCTTTTTGTATCCTTTTTAAGGATTGAAATGTTTCTTTAAAGCCCGCTCTTACTTAACCAAATAATTACAGTAGGCGCCTAGTTACTTAGTTATTTTAATCAAGTAAGGAGGTAAGCTCCTAGGTCGGACGCAGGATAGCTGGTGCAGCTTCACCGCCAAAGGAAGAAGCTTTTGAGGTACACAGGCCGTCCCAACTCAGGGTCTCAACAGTGGCATTCCTAGAGTGTGTGAGTTTAATTGATTATGTAGTTGTTCAGATTCGGCCAGTGTGCTAGATACACAACACTGGCATATATTAACGTGCGAATTCTGCTTTTTCGCTGGCTGTTCTCAGCCTACTCTACCTGCGCTTTCCATGGGTTTGTGGCCTTCTGCCGCTTTTTGCTTGGGCTTGTTGGAGTTTGATCGCCTGTGGCAACCAGGCTCTGTTTGACTGAGAAGATGGGGTGCTATTGAACCAACTGCTTTTGGAGGAAGAAACAAAAGAAGGTCCAAAGAAAGAACCCTGTCCTTGTTCTTAACCTACTAACTACTTACTGTAAGTTACTTACTACCAAAGATTTCACCAGGCCTGGAGGTCCTCCCAAGCCGGAGCTTGCCCCATGGAAGGCCGCTGCGGTAAAAGTGCACGCAGCAGCAGAGAAATCAAGCCGCCCTCTGAAGTCGCTAAAGAGGCACTGTCCCTCCACAGTAATTATATAATACAGGTGGGCGTAGAAGATGGTCTTTCTCTACCGACCCACAATTCGTGAGTTCCATCCTTCCTTACTAGCCACCACTCCTTGACTATCAGCCGGGTATTAAGATCACAAAGACACAAGTGTCAAGACAGTGAAAGAAAGAGGGTTTTGAGCCACTCAATCACCCTTGAATTAGAAGCGGGATCCATGCGGGTCCAGCGAGCGGACTTCAATGGATTTCAGCGGCCGCTCTGCCCCCTACCTAATAGCGATGGTCTCCAACCAGCGACGGCCTCCAACCGAATAGCAATGGCTTTCCTTTGTTTGGCTAAAACTTTGTTGCGATTGATTTTGGAACCAGATTCTATCAGCAAAAGACCATTGTGCCTCCGAAATCCGACCTGTACCAAGTGCGAGTTCAGATTGTCGGAATGCCAATAGGAAACCGCGCCCAAGCATCGACCTCTTCACGCAAATCCAGATTCCACCTCCCTTCCGAACTCAAAAGGGCGGAACATATTGGTCAAAGGATCCTGAGCGAATGATTCCGGTTCTGCAAATAGTTGGACTCTTATGAAAGCTTGTTTGTACTTTGCCATTCTTATGAAGTCCTGATCAGTAATTTGGACAGATTCTCATTCGTTCACTTCAGAAGGCAGCTGACACCTGAGACGTTCCGCCAATCCAAGCGGAGCTCTTCATTTTTCCTTTCTCTTTGCCACGGAACCAGTCGAGCGGGCTCCGTCGTGGTGGTTCAGGGCGCAGCCTGGGTGGTCTTCGGCGGCCGGGATGGTTTTCTCGGTTGGAAGATGGATTTACAGTACATGGATTTAACACATGGAATTCATGGACCAAATTCCAAAGCTTGTTGGCTGTGACATGCTGTGTCAAAGAATGAATTTCAACTCTTACCCTTCCCCTAGCTAGACAAATTCTATGTTTCTCTACAAAAAGAGTTTGTCCACCTCCACGTGAGTGTGTTGCACCAGGTCATGGTGCAGGGAGATCCTAAGACCTACCATGAATTGGGTGTCAAGACCTGATACTGGTCCCAAAACCAGAAGCCATACTGTAGTAGAATACATGGAGAGTCTCTCAGTCCAGAATAATTTCAAACCTCAGTGTTTTGCTGGCATGTGCGGTTTGATCTGGTTTTATATTTATATTTGTGATTGATTGATTGATTGCTTGATAGATAGATACCAAACTAGATAGATACCAAACTCCCGATGTTTCCAATGGGCCCTTCTGGCCCTTCAAACTTGCGAGCCCGTACCCGCCCGACCCTCAAATCACCCATCTTCGTGAAACCCTCCGTCGGGAATCATTCGTGGAGTAGTGTGACCAGAGGCAGGAGTCCTCAGATCTAATTGGCCGCACGGGAAAAAGATCAAGAACAAGACATGTGAAGGGCTCACTTGTCATGCTTGTTACTGGAAACGTGGACGTGGTGTTTTGTTCTGAGGATGAACATAGATAGACCAAAAGAAACTCGTCTAAATGGTTTAGTCTCAGGGGAGTTTCACCAGTATTTACCCATTAAATATCATCAAGATGGGCTGTCTTCGTTGGCCCGGACCCGCACCAGGGAGTCCTGGCCCCCTGCTGCTTAAAGTCAAATGTGGATGACAAGAACCCCTTTGTGTCTGATCGGGAGACGGAGTCGCACATGCTCGCGCTTTGGGTTGAGCGAGTGGAACTACACAGACACAGCTACGCTGAGGTCCAGTTGCTGGTGCCTCACCTGCTGGCACAGGAGGCTGATCCAGTTGGTGGCTTTGCAGCTGCGGCTTGTGGCAAACGTTCGAGTTTGGCATTAAAAAGTCTACTCTTGTTGTGAGCACTGTGAGTACATTCTTTGCCGTGCAATGGTGGAGATGTTCCAGGGTCGACTTGCACTGCAATGCAAATAAGGTGATTCATTGAGAGATCAGACACGGCGACAGGCATCCGCACCCTAGACATCCCTAGACTCTTCTAGGATCCCGCAATGGATGATGCCGTTGTATTTGGAAGGCCAAGGTTCGCAAATGGATGGCTGTACCCACACAGCCGATTTGATGACTTCAGGTCACCACTGAAGGCATGCAGTTTTGCACCATGTTCAGCTTGGCTTCGTTCCTCCTGATGCCTTGGCTGTAGCGCAGTGTGAAAGTCAGACACCCCCACGGTCAGCCCGCAGACTTTGATCTGCGCTTCACCCTCCCTGGTCAGGCACAAGGCAGACATCCACGAGTTGGTGCCTGCAGAGAGGGGCTCGTGTTGAAACGGACATGGGCGATCTTGGACAGAGAGGAGCCAACTCCTCTTGTGAGGAAAGGCAGATTAGATGGAGATCCATTGGAGACACTATGGTTGGGGTTCCCCAGGTTCATTCTGAACCTGCTTCATTGGAGTCAGATGTTCGCTCCAGACGAGAACTTTGTTCCCAGATGTTTCGGCACAAAGCCAAGTTTCATCTCGATGAACTTGGCACAGTGGATTGAGCATTGCTGTACAATACTTGTACTCCAATAGGAAGCATCCAAAGCAGCAAGAGTACTCAACAAGAGAATACACATAATATGTGATACTGGTTGCAGCTTTTGTCATTGTTAGAGAGCGTCACATGTGCACCAAGCATAAGAAGCCATCCTCACCGCATAATGACAGAGATTGACAAGCAAGTGTGGATTCTTGGTCCCCTTGTGTTGCACTCTACATGGGTCTATATTGGCCTCCCAGTTTAACCCTCTGAGGAAATAGAGCAAAACTCATTGGTTGGGGGTCTCCCTATTGAGCTTAAATATATATATATATATATACACACAATCTGTGTCTTCAACATCTGCCAGACCACTGCCGCACCCCACCATGTGCCGGTCCGCACTGGTTGAGCTGAGGTCGTTATGGTGGGTCAGGGGCACCCAGATTGATTGTTGTCAGTGTGACCTGCTAACAGAGTAGGTCCCAGGCGCAACAGATCGATTCCGAGATAGACCCGCACAAATCAAGACGAGGCACCGCGGCTAGTGACCTGGGGTGTGCTGTGCAATTTTCATTGCTAGTCTCTTAAGTGGTAAACAGCCGCATATTGGGCCAAGTTTCAACCAAGCGCTGTGTTCCAGGAATATAGAGACTTTTGCAGGGATTGCGGTGGCTTGAATGGCTGGCTACCAGCCTAATGATCCTAATGAATCAGACTAGTAGCAGCACACAGAACCGCAACTGGACACTTGAACCTTCATCCCGGTCCATGTGCAATACGTCTTGAGAAATTCCATGGGTTCCCAAGGCTCCAATCTTTGCTACTCCCACGATGTCTTTGACTTCGAAGAGGTGCAAAAGCCATTGTAAAGCCCACGATATGTGAGGTGTAAAGCCTTGTTTTTGACAACAGGTGCTGACGGACAGCATGGATGGGAGGTGTCCGAGTGGACCGAACACACGGGACACCACCCAAACAGTGGCAGACATTGCATAAGCTTGATGACCTGATTGACAGAGGAGAATGGGGGAAGGTCTTTTTCCTCCAGTTTGGACCAAACCAGATTTCTTAACATTTTTCTTGACATGGGGTTTTCAGAACAGATAAAATTGTAAAACATGCCGAAGTCTTTCCAACCCAGGGCAAAACGCTAGAAAAATGACCAGCAGAAGCCACCTGACCTGTCCTCCTTTCCATCCTAAAAAAGTGTCTCAATGGACTCAATGGATCCTCCCACATGTGAATCGAAAGCAAGATCCAAAGACCCAGCTTATTGTTTCTAATAACAAACATTGTTACTACTAGTAAGGCACCTGTTACTACTAGCGATGCACCTGTTACTAGAAGCTTATTGTATCTAATAGCTTCTTGTTACTAGTAGTAAGGCACTTGTTCCTAGTAGCGATGCTTGTTCCTAGTAGCGAACATTTGTTAACATGATAAGAAGTAAAGGATACTGTACTTGGCCGCCGCATGCGGCCAAAATGTAGCGGTCCGCAGAGAAGAGTGGCTAGGAGAATGTGCAGCTCCAATCACACTCACAGTGATAAATGGGATTAGATTCAGAGTGACAAAGACAAGAATGACAAGAAAGTCGATGCAAAATGGGAGGCCATTTCTAATTAGGTTGGAGGCCATCGCTATTACTTGTAGATTGGAGGCCATTGCTATTATGTTCAGACTGAATCAGACTGACTGCTCCGTTGCGAAGTATATGTTTTTTTCCCATTCTGGGAACACCCTGTTCCACCGGTTGCTCAGCGCAGCTGGTGGCGGTCCGCTCCAGAAGGGAAGCTGAAAGCTTCAAGGCCACTCGGCAAGTGAAGACCAGACGAAGTAACATGGGACGACTACAACCGTTCTCTCTTGATCAATCCCAAAGGGTGGGACATGACAGTTCTCTGTTTGGGGAAGGCGTCACTATGTTTTGCAGTAACTTGTGCAATTCAGAAAGGAAGTGAGGCTAACGTCGGCTTTTACAAAAAGTGTCTTTACGTGACGAAATTATACTGGACATTGTATGTGTTGCACACAGTTGTCATATCTTTTTTGATTGAAAATGTTTGAACGCGCCACCACCGTTGGGATGTCTTGGTGTGTACCAGACAGAAGTGCGAAGAAACCATAGAAAACAACCTACTAGCTCCTGGCATTACTACTAGTAACAAGAAGCTACTAGGTGGAGGCCATCGGTATTGGGTTCGAGGCCATTCCTACTAGTAATAAGAAGCTACCAGGTTAGAGGCCATCACTATTAGGTTGGAGGCCATTCCTACTGGGTTGAGGTCATCGCTACTAGGTTGGAGGCCATTCCTACTAGTAACGTCTTTCTACTAACAGCAGTGACGCCGAAAAGCTTCGAAAAGCGGATTGGGACTGAGGCTGCAAACGAGGTCAGCATGTGATGGCATCGGAGGTTCAATTGATCAGAAAAGATATTTAAACTCCGAAGATCAAAATGAGCACTGTCAAAATCAGGATGTTTTGATCAACTATGCAGAAGCTTCCTGACCAACCCAGTGCAAAAGCACCCTCTCTGTCTTAGTCACAGGAACCTCGAGCGTGGGGTCATCCTGTTTCGGCGACAGAGTGCAGGGGAAGGAAATGCGTTTGAGCGGTCAGCACTGTCAAAATCAGGATGCTTTTATCAACTATGCAGAAGCTTCCTGACCAACCCAGTGCAAAAGCACCCTCTCTGTCTTAGTCACAGGA